TGTTTATTTTAATCTTAAGATACTGCAACAGATTCAGAATCCACACAGTTTGGCATGCAGTAATAGCACCTGCAATGTATTCAGCTTCAGAGGTTGATAACGCCATAACAGGTTGCTTCTTGGAACACCAAGAAATGGGACCTCCCAGAAATTTGAACAAGTACCCAGAGGTACTTCTTCTGTCAACTCTGTCTCCACACCAATCAGAGTCTGAATAACTCAGAAGTTCTGACTCATTCTTTCTTCCAGAAGGAAATAACACTCCATACTTCAGAGTTCCCTTGATGTACCTCAGAATCCTGACAGCAGCTTGGTAATGGGACCACTTAGGTTTACTCATGAACCTACTAAACATCCCAACAGAATAGCAAATATCAGGTCTGGTATTGCACAGATACCTCAGAGAACCAACCAACTGTTTGAAGGTTGTAGCGTCCACATCCTTTCCATCAGAGTCAGAATCCAGTTTCTGATTTATATCAGAAGGTGTGACAGCAATCTTACAATTCTTCAGTTCAAATCTCTTCAGAAGTTCTAATTCATACTTGAGTTGATGCAAAATGATACCTTTCTCAGAGTATCTGAATTCCTTCCCTAGAAAGTATGTCATTTTGCCTAGATCAGTCATTTCGAATTCATTCATCAGAACTTTCTTGAACATGGCTATCTCTTGTTCAGAACTTGCAGTCAGCAGTATGTCATCAACATATAAACATACCAGAGTCATATTGCCTTCAGTAGTATGCTGAACATAAACACCGTACTCCATCTCACATTTCTGAAAGCCTTGCTTCTTGAAAAATGAATCAATCTTCTGATTCCAAGCTCTGGGCGCTTGTTTCAATCCATATAGAGCTTTGTATAATCTGTACACCATCCCTTCCTGATTCTTTTTCACAAATCCAGGAGGTTGTGACACGTAAACTTCTTCTAATGGATCTTTTAGAAATGCAGATTTTACATCTAAATGCATCAGAGGCCAATTCCTGTTAGCAGCTATTGCAATCACCATTCTGATTGTTTCATGTCTTGCTACAGGTGCAAACACTTAAGAATAATCCATCCTAGGTTTCTGTAGAAATCCTCTGGCTACCAACCTTGCTTTATGTTTGCCAATTAAACCATCTGGCTTTAACTTCTGCTTGAAAACCCATCTGACACCGATGGCTTTCTTGTCTTTTGGAAGTTCTGTCAGCTTCCAAGTCTTGTTTCTCTCTATAGCATCAAGTTCTTCTTTCATGGCCTTCATCCAGAGCTTCTGCTTAAGAGCCTCTTCTGTACTTATGGGTTCAGAGTCTACTATCATGGAACACTGAATAACTTCTCCTTCAGAGTCTACTTCAGTGTTTTGCAGCATGTCAAATTCTGCATATCTTCTAGGGACGTTTCTTATTCTTTGTGGTCTCTAAACTTGTTCAGAGTCTTGAGCTTCAGATGATTTACCTCCTCCAGAGCTTTGACCATCTTCAGGGTCTGGCATATTTCCAGAGTCTTGAACTTCAGAATTTCTAGCTTCAGAGGCTTGACTTCCTCCAGAGTCTTGGCCATCTTCAGAGTCTGGCATATTTCCAGAGTCTGAATTGCCACCAGAATCTGGATTGCCATCAGAGTCTGGATCATCAAAGTCACCTTCATCTTCTGAGTCTTCTCCAGAGTCTGAATCACTACCAGAGTCAGATTCAACTTCAGAGTTTACTCCAACTTCAGAAATTCTTAACTCTGACCTTTCTTCAGAAGTTCTAATATCAGAATCAGATTGAGACTTATCCCAATTCCAAACTTCTGATTCCTTCATAATCACATCTCTGCTGAATTCAATTTTATTGGTTTCTGGACAATAGAGCTTGTATGCACCTGTACTGTGGTACCCTATCAGAATCATCACTTTGCTTCTATCATCCAGCTTCTGTCTTCTGGCTTCTGGAACATGTTAATAGCAAACAGAACCCAACACCTTCAGATGACTAACACTTTGCTTATCTCCAGTCCACTTCTATATCGGAACTATTTCCTTCAACTTCTTCGTAGGATAACGATTGAGTACATATGTTGCAGTGGCAACAGCTTCTCCCCAGAGCTTCTGAGGAAGCTTCTTCTCCTTTAGCATGCTTCTCACCATATCAAGCAAAGTGCGGTTTCTTCTTTCAGCAAGACCATTGTGTTGAGGGGTATAAGGAGCAGTAACCTCATGCTCAATTCCATTCTCCTCACAGAACTTCTGAAACTCTTTAGAGTTATACTCACCTCCACCGTCAGTTCTAAGAATATTCAACTTCTGACCACTCTGATTCTCAGCCTTCATTCTGAACTTCTTGAATTCATCAAACACCTCGTGTTTAAACTTAATAAGGGATACCCATGTCATTCTTGTGAATTCATCAACAAACAACACAAAGTATTTATTCCCTCCGATTGATGCTACTGGAAATGGACCACACACATCAGAATGTACAACTCCTAAGGCATGTTTTGCTCTTGGAGCAGCTTCTGACGCAAATGGCAATCGTGGTTGTTTTCCTTCCATGCAAACTTTGCATGACTTTTCAGGCTTCTTAATTGCAGGAATTCCATGTACCAACTTCGTTGAATTCAGATGTTTTAAGCTTCTGAAATTCAAATGACCAAATCTTCTGTGCCACAGCTCACTCTCCTTCTCAGAACTTGTTGCACTAAGACATTCTGAGTCTGCAGTTCTGACATTCACCTTGAATGTTTTATTCCTTCCCTGTTCTGACTCCATAATCAACTTCTGATTGCAGTCATACAGCTTCAGAAGATTGTCCTTCATGGTAACTGAAAATCCTTTCTCAATTAATTGTCCCATACTCATCAGATTGCTTCTGATGCCAGGTACATACCACACGTTCTAAATCAATGATGTTTTCCCATTGTTCAGAATCACTCTGACATTTCCCATACCTTCCGCGTTAAGATATTTGTCATCAGCACATCTGATCTTTGTTCTCTTTTTATAGTCAAAGTCAACCAGCCATTTCTTGTTTCCAGTAAGATGATTTGAACAGCCAGTGTTCATATACCACCAGTCTATCAGATCCATATCATCAGATTCAGAGGCCATCAATAGCACAGATTCGTCATCAGAACTTCTGGCTATATTTGTTTCTTCTCATTTTCTCTCCTTGTTTGACTAACAATCTCTAGCAAAGTGACCAAACTTCTTACAACAGTAACATTGCATCTTCTTCTTGTCATACTTCTCTTTTCCCTTCTGAGCATTCTTTTGTCTATCAGAGGTTGAGCTTTCTGACTTCTGACCATCATCAGATCTTCTCATGGCTTCTGACTGCTTCTGATACCTCCTATCAGAAGTTGCTTTCAGAGCCTGCTGCTCTACTTCCTTTTCAGAGGTTCTCTCAGTCAAACCCAACTCTTGCGCTTCTAGACTGCTCTGCAGCTCTTCAATTCTCATGGTGCTCAGATCTGTGGAATGTTCTATTGCTACCACAATGTAATCAAATTGAGAGGTAAGGGATCTCAATACTTTCTCCATGATTGCTTCTTCAGAAAGAGTTTCTCCACACGCCTTCATCTCATTAGTAGTCAGAATCATTCTGGAGATGTATTCAGAGACTTTCTCATTATTCTTCATGTTGAGATTCTCATATTGCTTTCTCAAGGACTGAAGCTTCACCTTCTTCACTGATGCGTCACCACCATAACATCTCACCAGTGTGTCCCACGCAGCCTTTGCTGTCGTTGAATCTGCAATCTTCTCAAACACATTTACATCCACACATTGATGAATGAAGAACAATTCTTTCTGATCCTTCTTCCTTACTTCCTTCTGCTCGTTTTTCTGTTCATCCGTCGCATTTGCTGCTACCGGAACATAACCATCAGTGGCAAGATCTAGAACATCTTGAGCACCAAACAATACAGGCATTTGGATCATCCAACGATTCCAGTTTTTATCGTCAAATACTGGAAGTTTGGTGTTCATGTTGCCTTTTCCGTTCATCTTCTACCTTGCACAGTACACTCAGATTTCTCACACAGTGTTTCCCAACCCACAGAATTAAAAATTTTGATCAGATTTTGTTCAAGATTCAACACGAATCTAAGAATCAAAATCAAACACACAAGACCTCACGTTCACTCGTGTTTCCCGTGTTTCCCAATGAATCCGAACCGGAGCTCTAGATACCAATTGTTGGTGCAAAGGTAGAATAAATGATGAATAGAGAAATATTCTATTAAGAGAATGACGGCTACACACAACCACTTAACATTACAATGATTGCAACTCTATTTATAAGCTAAAACTAGGGTTAATAGAATAAGATAAAATACTAAAATACCCTCTAACAAACTTAGGGGCTAAGTAATAGTACAACTAAATATGAATTACTTCTAATATACTCTCTTAAAGATATCCTTACAAATATCACAAGTATAATGGCTATATTTTTTAAAATAAATTTTCAGATTAAAAGTGAATAAAATGAACAAAACTATTTTTTAAAATTACTTAATTAAAAAAATACAAAAATTTAAAAATAAAATCTAATAAAAGATTAACAATTACAAAACAATCCTAATAAACTAGACTAAAAATCTTAAATTAACTTTAAAGAATTTTCTTAAAAAAAAAAAGAATTTGTTGGATAATTTTATAAAAAAAGAAAAATCATAAAAGAAAAAAAGAATCTTAAATTAATTTTATAAATAAAAAAAGAAAAGATATTAGGATTGATGTGCGAGTGAAATGCATGCATACAAATAAATTAATTATAAAAGACAAAATCATATCCAAATAGATAGAAAAACACGAGATTAAGAAAGCAACACATAAAAGTAAACCATATAAGTAAAACAAAACAAAACAAAAAATCACCGCACACAGTGCAACAACATGAGGAAAGTGGTCCCAAATCTTCAAAACTTCATCACTTTTAGTTCCAATTTTTCCAACAATCTTCAAACTCTATTGTCTTAACAAATAATAAATTGAAAGAATCATAACAGCAAAACCATCATAATCATTTTTGAACAAGACCATTATAATCAGATGGTCCATATGGTTCAAAAAGCTCTGCAAAAGCACTCTTCTTCCTCAGATGATTACATTTCATATCCTTGCACAATTGATCATTATACCATATCCCACAAGTAACAATGCATGAATTCCATTTTCTATCATATTGCTTCATAGTCTCTTCCCACACTTTAACATCCTTTTCCATCTCCTTAACACTAGGCAACTTAATATTCCCATCCAAAAATTGTGCTAGCCATAGACACCTCATTTCATTCGAATAGATGTTCGATAGCGCCTCAGCGTATCCCATGATCGCCAATTGTGGGATTCGAGGATGAAGTACTTGCCTGTAGAGAGGAACTGTTACATTTGATGGAGTCTTAATGTAACTTTGGAATGTTGGAGATTTGAATATGCTTTTGAGTTTTTCGTCACCTTTGAAACCTGTCGCGAAAATAACTAGATCTGATTCGATAGGTTTGGCTTCTCCGTCAATGATCAAACCTTCGTTGCAGAAGCTAACGGTTTGTGATTTCTTTATCAGGATGGATCCTTCTTTCAGTTTGTCGAAATACAAATCAGGAAGTACTCCGAATGTACATTTGTGCATGTCATGATGAAAGCTGTGTTTTGGTACGAGTCCGAACTTCTTCAGTGGTAGCTTTGATTTTAAATATATTTCAACGAGTTTGCCGAATCCCCATCTCTGAAAATTAAGATTGCAGTTATATTTGAGTTGTGAGTAAATTGTTCATTCTTACAAAAGAAAAAATATCTAACATATAGTTTTTTTATGGTAGTAGATGGATCTTACGAATGGTGAAAATAAAGTGGCCACGAGGCTGAGAAGAAGGTTTTCTCCGGGCTTGTGAACTAAAAGCTCCGCAAAACGGTTGAAATAGAGGTATGCAAGACTAAAGCCCCAAATGTTGAAATCTAGGAGAAACCAATGTACAGTTCTCTGAATCATTGTACAAGGATAATTGACTCCTGTAAATATTAATAGACAGAAAATGAAATTTAGGATTATTTAAGAGGTGAAATATAAGCTATGAAACACGAACATTGACACAGACGTAATTACAAGTGTCAATGTCAGTACCAGACAATATTGAATAGATATATTCTCACCATTTTTATCTGCAATTTCAGTAGCTACATCAAGAGCAGATTTTCCTGATCCTACAACTGTAACTCTCTTGTTTTTGATCAATTCAGCAGCAGACTTATTGTCCAAGGCAGCATAATCCATAGAATGCATTGCTTTACCCTTAAAAACTTCCGGGCCTTTTCCATGAGGAAACTCAGGAGTGTTTGGCAAACCACTATATTTCCCAATGCAAAGAATAACAAACTCAGCTTTGTGCACCTGGTTTCATATAATATCAGTTAAGCCTGAGAGAGATAAATCAAAGCAATACAAATAGCGTCCACACCTTTGGAAAAATGGCGGGTCTGACGTTAGTGTCAGTGCTAAATAGCAAAATAGTACAAAACTAACAATCAAAATATACACATATATACCTCAGTTGAAAAATTCTTAGTATCTTGCACAGTAATATGCCATGTCCCCTTGGACCCAAAAGGAGTTCCATCACCATTCCATAACTCCCATGACTTAATATCTTCATTGGACTCACCAACATAATCAATATCAATGACTTTAGAATTGAATCTTATACAAGGAACAATTCCAAAACGTTGAGCATAAGCATTAAAATAAGCTTGCACTTGTTGATTATTTGGATTATCTTCTTTCACAGAAGAATCCCAAGGAAAATCAACAAACTGAAAATCTTGTTTAGGGTTTTGTATTTTTGTAGACTCAATAGTGTGTCTCCATTGGCCTCCAAGGCCTTCATCAGCTTCAAACACAACCGGCTGAAAACCAGTCTCAAGAACATATTTGCAGGCAATTAGGCCACTGAGTCCAGCACCAATAATTGCAACCTTTTTTTCCATTACTTTTGATAATGAAATTAATTACTGACAAAACTCTGATCGAGGCAATGGTCTGAAATAAAATGCATATTGACCTAGATTTATAATACCTCAAAATAACAAGATTAGTGCTATTATTTTTGGTATCTACGTTTTCTATTTTCGTTGCTGAATCTGAAAGGCAAGGCTATTACTTTTATGATATTATTTAAAATTATGGAAAATATATATATTTTTTGTAAAGGATATCTGAAACATTAATAATATCGATATCTGATAATAGTCATATTCAATACACTGGAAATTAAAATAATTAACCTTTTTTAAAGAATAAAAGATATATTTTTAAAAAAAATTTGTATTCAATGCAATATTTGAAATCTTTAAGGAGTGTCCAGAGACACCCATCAACAAAAAATTTTAGATTCATTCGATAATTCGAATTAGTTAATATATTTGATCTATATTTTAATTTTATATATATATATATATATATATATATATATATTTAAAAATCAAACTGTTTTTTATAAATAGAACAAGCTGAAGTATTTTTTTATTCTTTTTGTTTTGGAAATACCAAAATAAAATATATTAATCAAATAAGAGAATCTTCTTTTTCCTTTTTCTTTCCCTGAGTTACTATAGTTTTGGACTAAACCAGTAATGTTGTTGAAGTTCCTCTTTTATTTAGTGATTGATTTTTTTATTTTTTTTATTGAAAATTTTCTTTTGGAAAACCATCAAACTAAAATGATTTAAATGGTACTTTAAAGAATAAAAGCAGGGCCGATCTTGGCCGACCTTGACTTTCTAGAAACCAGGGCAAATAATAAAAACAGGCCTCTAACAAAAAAACTAATCAATTAATCAAAACTAGAATTGTCTCATACTATTATTTTTCATAATTTTTTAGTGTAGAATTTGTTTATTTATCAAGTTTTTGTCATGTTTAAGAGCTATTGGATCAATCATAACTAGGACCGTCTCAAATAATTTAGATGTTTGATTTTAATTTTAAAAATCAATCACTAATAACAAGAAACACAAAGAATTCAAAACAATCATCATTTATTAATTTATGTAAATATTTATACATAAAAAAAATGCATAAACAATCATATTCTGTCACGTAGGTTAATCAAAAAATTTACTGTTTAATTCTTAATTAAAAATATATTAATATTGCTAACTTTTTAATATATTGTTATAAAATAAATTTTAATAGTATATCTCACTATGATCAAAAGAAAAATAATAAATTAAAGTACAACATAAAAATTTGATGGTAAATGAGTTGGGTGTACGATGAGTTTTTAAATATTAAATTATAACTTATAACTTATACTAATATAGAATTAAAATAAAACTATAAGGGTTACCATAAATTAAAGGTGTGCAAAACTATTAGTTCACAAAATCATTTTAAAAAATATGATGCATCTATTTTAAAAATTCATATTATTTTGTTTAAAAATTGGTCTAAATCTATTTCGTTAAAATTAAAAAGAAAATCGGTAACCACTTTTTAAACTATTATGTTTAAAACCAATTCATAAATGACTAACCAATATTTTCATTTTCTTTCCATTGTCTCTTTTTCATTACCATTTTTGTAAGTGTTCATTTATCCTCTAAAATTGAATTCTTCTTTGAGAATATGATTCTTTTATAGTGGTTATCAATTTCAGCAATGAAAAAGTTAAAAAAATAAACAAAATAATAAGCATAAGAGTAAAGAAAAACAGAAGAGGTGATGAGTACATATTATGTGAATGTTTATTATGCAATGTTTCATATTTGTGTCATAATTGTTAGTTGTTAATGATCAATTTAATATTCTATTGAGCTATATAATTTTATTACTATCTCATTCATATTTAATAAAAAATATTCCTCTGGTAAAACATTTTGATTTTCAAAAACACTGCATCTTTGATTTATTATTATGTTTCTTACTCTTTCTATTTATTTTTATTTATTCTATATTCTTTCAAAAATTTTCGATTATGATCAAATTTCAAAAATGTCATAATTGAGATTTAAAGATTCTGTCAATCACCGAGGGATTATTGATTTCAAAATCAGATTTAAAATAATTGGATGGAATTAGGAAGAAGTTGTTTGAACTGAAAAATAAATTTTAATCAAAACAATTTTAAAAAAAAATTGGTTTGAAAACTGATCCAACTAAAAACTGATTTTTAGTATAAGCTAGTTTTAAACCGAACTAATTCAAATATAAACTGATTTTAAAAAACAATTTTGATTTGGTTTAAGAACCAAACTAAACCATATATTTAGTTCAATATTTTGTAAAAAAAATTAGGATAATTCAAGCTTTAAAAGAAGTTGGGTTTTGAAAACTGCAAATAGTATCTTAATTTCGCAAATTATATATATATATATATATATATATATATATATATATATATATATATATATATATATATATATATATATATATATATATATATATATATATATATATATATATATATATATATATATATATATATATAATTGTGAGACCCTGGACTGTGGACCCGCTTGTCCAGACTTAAGGCCAGTCTGAATAAAAAGTATGTCTTTTAAAAAGATTTGTATTCAATTCACTATTTTTTTAAAATATTTGAAATCTTTAAGGAGTGCTATGAGACACTTAATTTGGTTATATATATATATATATAAAAGTAATGTATACGATGAAAATTAATAAATATATAAAAAATAGAACTATTAATATCAATTGTCGAATTTAATTGACATGTAAGATTTAAAAATTTCATATCAAGATCACCTTATTAAATTTTTTTCTAATAAATTTAATTTGGAAAATTTCCATAAAAAGACATTCTTGCCCAAAATAATTTTATTGCAATGATTATCTTATTATTAAAATATTTGTTACAATCATATTTAATAATTAATTAGCATACAAATATAAAATATAATTTAAATATATTTAGTATTTGAGGAGTGCTATACTGTTCGAATGATCTAAGTCACAAACTAGACAATTTCATATGTGGCATCACATCCTTTGTCTAAACCAAAAATTAATTAATAATAAATTGAAAAATAAAACACTTTCTTTTAAATGAAAATTGGGTTGTGCAATTTTAACGATGCTTAATTTGTAACCTTTAGCATTTATTTTTATTTTAAATTAAGATAATCTAAACTATAAGTATGTGTGAAGACTAATTAAAATTTTAAAATAAAATATATGAAAATAATATTAATTTTAAAATATTGAGAAGTATAGATTGTTTATTAATCTTCCTAATATTTTTTGAAAAATCTTAACTTTTATAAAATTGATTTGATTTAAAAAAAACAATTTTAACATTGTATTTCAAATTTTATATAATTATATATCTTTTTTATAATTTATTTTGTTAAGTATTTTTTTCTAAACTTATTTTTAAAATCAAACGAGACTCCTAATATTTTAATTTAATCATTAAAATAGTGATTACTAATTCAAAAATTAACACAAATCTCATAACTTATTTCTTGAATTATCATGAGTTTTAACATAATAAAATGATTGAAAATTCTAATGTTAAGTATAATAATATCGTATTAAAAACTATTTTTACGAAAAATCTCTTTTTATATAATTTTAAAATATTAAGCGTCATAGAAAAATATTTAATAAAATATTATTTTTGTAATCAATATATTAATAATATTTTAATATCAATATAATCATTTCAATAAAATTATTTTAGATAAAAATCTCTTTTTATGGAATGTTTATATATTAAGTTTAATAAAAATAATTTAGTATGAGCTTTTGAATGTGAAACTTTTAAATCTTAAATGTTAACTATTTCTTTAAAGAAGTTTTTAAAAATTTCTCTTCCTATATGATACTATTTTTGTGGCGATTACAGAGGATTAATTTTCAAGATTTTTTGGAGGATCAGTCTTATGTTGTGAATCAATCAATGATTCAAATAATCATCAAGGTAATTCTCAATTTTGCAAAATAATTGATGTGGATGTTCGAGCTAAAGTATGGAATTCTATCAAAAATCTGGGCATTGAAGGGGACGAGACTGATGAGGTATTCAAATGTATTGATCGCAAAATTTTAGTTAGGGATCAAAGATGTTATGAATTGGTGAAGGAGTTTGTCACAAGGGTTCCATGAATATTAGAAGTTTTAATATAAGAGGGTGCGACAACTCTATTAAAAGACGAAGGCTAAGTCAAATTTTGTTAAAAGGGAAGACTGGTATGTGTTTCCTTCAAGGGACAAAGGTTTAACAAATGGAAGATGGTTTAGTGGTTGGCATGTCGGGATCTTTGGATTTTGAGTGGTTAGCAAAGGATCTTGAAGGGTGTTATGGATGAATTTTGACTATATGGAAGAAAGGTTCATTTTTATCAGTGTTCAGTTTCAAGGGGAAATGCTATATCGCAATTAAGGCGACTTGGAAAGGTACAAATTTTTATTTTATGAATATCTACTCCCCATATAGGTTAGAAGATTAGAGGTTGTTATGGTTAGAATTACTACATTGGAAAGCTAAATTAGAGTTGGGTGAGTGGGTAGTGGGTGACGATTCTAATGCAACAAAATCATTGGAGGAGAGGAGAGGAGGGGCAGGAGCTCAAGTAGTAGAACCACTAAGATGGAGGAGTTTAGTAGTTTTATCGTGGAACTTGTTGATCTACCAGTTATGGGAACAAATATACTTGGATAAAATCAGATGGAGTAGTAGAATTGACAAATTCTTATTATCTGAGGGATTAGTAAATGATTGGAAAATTGCAGCTCAAGAGTCAGGTAATAGGGATATCTAAACTGAGCGCCTAAGCCATTTAAAATGTATAATTGTTGGTTTGATCATAAGGATTTTGTTAAGAAAAAAATGGGATTCTTGTTCTGGAATTGGGAAGAAATCTTATGTGTTAAAAGAAAAAGTAAAGTATTTAAAGGAGGGACTTAAATGGTGGAATAAATTGGTGTTTGGTTGGATCGACCTAAAGATTGAGAAGGGTGGAGG